TTTATACTGTTCAACTTATTTAACTTCATTTTAGATTTTTTTTATTTAGTTTAATATATTTTTTTTTTGTTTTTTTAATTATATTTTAAATTAATTTGATTTTACTTTCTTCCATTTTATTCTATTTCATTTTGTTTCAAATTTATTTTATTTTATTTTTGCTAATTTCCCCTTATGTGATCCCATTTTTTTTTAAGTTGTATTTATTTTAAAACATTTCTTATGTATATAAAATTTATTTTTATTTCTATTTTATTTAATTTATTTAACTTTATTTTAGATTTTTTTATTAATTTTATTTTTTTTCATTTGATATTATTTTATTTTAAACCATCTTATTTTTACGTTTTATTTTAGTTTAATTTTGGTATATTTTTTTTTTTGTTTTATTGTATTTTACTTTATCTTAGAGTTATTTTATTTCATCAATTTTATTTTATTTAGCATTTAATTTTGTTTAATTTTTGTTTTTTATTTTATTCATTTATTTAATTTTGTCTTTTATTATTTCTTTTATTTCATTTACTTTTATTACAATTTATTTTATTTTATATTAATACACTTTAATTTATATTATTTTCTTTCCTATTATTTTGTTTTATTTATTTATTTTAATTTGTTTTATTTTATATTAATGTACTTTATTTTTATTGTTTTATTTTATTTTAAATTAATATACTATTTTAAATTATTTAATATCACATTATTGTATTTTATTTAATTTATTAATTTTAATTTATTTTATCTTGTTTTATTTTGCATTTTTTTATTTAATTTTATTTTAGTGTAGTTTATTTTTATTTATTTGATTTGATATTATTATTTTTTTTTTTTAATTTATTTTATATTATTTTCTATTATTTTATCTTATTTATCGTTTTATTTTAAATTATGTTATTGTGGTTAATCTTATCTGATTTTTTTATTTTTTTTTATTTTAATTTTTTTTTATATATAATTTTATTTTATTTAATGTTATTTTATTTGAGCTTAATTTTTAATTAGAAATTTCAATATATTTTCTTTTATTTAATTTAATGAATTTAGTTTTATTTAATATTATTTCGTTTTACTGATATTAATATTTTATTATTTGTTTTAATTTTTCAATTGCTTTTTTTTATTATTTTATTTTATTTAATTTAATTATTTTTATATTTTTTTTCCATGAGCAGTTGCACCTTTTTAATTTATGACTTTTATTTCATATATTCCAATTGTTGTTAAAGCACACATATTTATGTAAGTATCTTGCAATTGCTTTCAATGACTTTCATTCATATTAATTGTTTACGATTTTCAGTTTAATCATCCTTTCATGTGAAAAATAAAAAAGTATTCTAATATCGCGCCAACAATGTTTCTTTTCTCAATGCTTCAATTACTTCACAATTCTACTTATTGCACGTAAATATTATTAATGTTTATATTTACAAATACAATATTATTTATAAAAATACTTATTTGTATGTATGTCGGCGTGCATTAAGAATATTTTGCTTCGTTTTTTTTTGTTTAGTGTTGTTACACTTTTAAATAAGAGTGGCGTAATTCCATTATTTAAAAAGAAATTAAATTTTGAAACATTTTAATTAATCAAATAAGAGTTATATTTTTGAAGCTGTCAGGTCATTTTTAAGCCAAATGCTAATTTATATATATAAACATTATTACATTTTTTTTATAACGTGCATAAAATTGTATTATATTTATTTATATTTTGTTATTTTATTTTTCTTTTTCAAAAAATGCAGTTAGGCTTTTTTTCATTTACACCACCGCAATTTTTATACATATTTTTTATCAAGTTTTCAATTTCAATTCCGCATATTGTTGCGGCTGCCATTCAATTCGTTGCTAATATGTTTGTAGCTAAAATTGTTGCCTTTGTTTGCGGCATTGTTTTGTTACATACAAACAAACGTGCATACGTATGCGCATTTCACAAATTAGTATTGTTGTTGTTGTTGATACAATTGATGATGGCGCTTTTTACTTCCATTTTTATTGCTCCTATTAATAATGTCGCTTTTGTTGTTGTTATTGTTGCTGATAATATAAACATTAGCAATGTGCTCAGACAGACAGACAGCCAGACAGGCGAAGCGCCTACCCCAAAGTCAGTCGGCGAATTATTTATGCCTCAAAAATATTTTATTATATATACACATGTATATACATGTATATATATATAAATTCTTCAAGCAACAATCAGTAGCGCATGCCATTCACACTTTAACGAAACAAGCACATTGCATTACATGCACACACAGACGCCACGCCATGCCAGGTGGGTACATAGCACTCCCACACTGTAGGCTCCACAACTCTTATCTGTTTACTCGACTAATCCACCCGGTGCCTCACACCTTTTTTTTCGTTTCACTCGCATCTTCTATTTCAGTGTGTTGGTCGTTTCAATTACGCTTTTATTACACTATTGCCATTGTTGTTGTTGCTAATATTGGTTTTTATTTTTTACTTTTATTGTTATTGTTATGGTGATTCTTATGCTTGTAGTATTACACACACACATTTGTTTTAGATTTTTATTTACTTTTTTTCGTATTGTTCTTATTGCTGTTGCACAATAACGCCGTTTTTCCACTGTTTGCTTGTTGTTTATTCGAGTATCAGCAATGGAAATGTGTGAATGTGTGTATGCGATTGTAAGAAAATCTTAAAATGTAAACGATAAAATATACACGAATTTGTTTTTAGATTCGTTTCAATTTCTTATTCAATTCGCTACGGCTATTATTACACACATTTCAATGATCCTATGATCATTGCTTGCTCTATGCAATTCTAAACTTTTCAAGCACTGAGCCACGGAAAAGAAGACTTTGCATTTAAGTCTGCGAACATCTTTAAAATAGTCTGGTTTTGACATATTTTACGTTAATTGAATTACAACAAAATTATTTTATTTTATTTTAATCATTAAAACTTATTTAATTTCGTTTATTTTGTTCGTAATTTAATTTAATTCGAATTTATTTTATTTTTTTGTTTTACTTTATTTTATCTTATACTACCTTTTAATTAATTAACACTTAATTGAACTTAGTTAATTGAATTAAATTTAATTTATAATTTTTATTTCAGTTTTCTTTATTTTTTGGTTACGTTGCATATTATTTGATTTTTATATTTATTAGTTATATATAATTTATCGCTTGATTTAATTTTGGTTAATTTTATTTAATTGTAATTATATTTAATTTTTACTTTGTTTTGCTTTTTTAATTTTATTTGAGTTTATTAGATTTTTCCTTATTTCATTTTATTTTACTTTGTTTTAATTATTATTTATTTTATTTTAATTTATTTTGTTTTAATTATTTTAACTTTTTATATTCTATTTTTTTTTAATTTTTTTTTCTTATTTAATTTTGTTTAATTTCATTTAAATTCATTTTTTTTTTTATTTTGCTTGTTTTAGTTCAGATAATGTTTTTTTTTAGTTTTATATTTTATTTATCTGATTATATTATATTATATTATATTATATCATTTTGTTTTATATTTTATTTCATTTTATTTTATTTTATTTTGTTTAAGTTATTTTATTTTTTTATTTTCTATTTATTTTTTAAAGTTTTTCTTATTTTATTTTGTTTAATTTCATTTTAATTTATTAATTTTTTTATTTTGCTTGTTTAAGTTTAATTAATGATATTTTATGTTTTTATATTTTATTTATCTGATAATTTCTTATTTTGTATTATTTTGTTTCATATTTTATTTTATTTTGTTTTGTTTTAGTTATTAAAATTTTTTATATTTTATTTATTTTATTTATTTTTTCTTATTTTATTTTGTTTAATTTTATTTTAATTAATTTTTTTTATTTTCCTTGCTTTAGTCTGATCAATGATATTTTAAATATTTATATTTTATTTATCTGATTATTTTTTATTTTACATTATTTATTTTTTAATTATATTTTATTTTGTTTCATCTCATTTTATTTTATTTTTTTATTTTATTGCTATAAATTTTTTGTTAATTTCTGTTTTTTTTCAGTTAAATTTTTTTTACATTATTTTAATTAATTCTATTGTATTTTATTTTCTTATGTTATTTTATATAATTTTATTTAATCTTTTTATTTCACATTGTTTTATTTTATTTCCTTATTTTATTTGATTTAATTAATTTTTTTAATTGTTTTATATTAGTTTATTTTAATTAAATTTATTTAAAATTTTTAATTTTATTTTATTTTCTTTTATTTAATTTTTACTTTATTTGACTTTATTTTATTTTTATTTATATTGTTACTATATTTTTAGATATTCTGTTTTATTTATTTTAATTTATATAATTTTACTCTTTTTTGCTTCGCTGTATTTTATTTTAATTTTTCTCGTTTTTTTTATTATTTTTTTATTTTATTTTAATTAGTTTTATTTTATTTTTTCGTTTTAATTTATTTGATTTTATTGGTATTTATATTATTGTATTATTTCTTTTTTAATTTATTTTAAATTGTTTTATTTTTATTATTATTTTATTGTTAATTTTATTATATTTTAACTTATTTTACATCATTTTATTTCATCTTGTTTTATTTTATGTTGTTATATTTTATCTAATTTTATTATGTTTTATTATATTTTTTTGTAGCTTTACTTTACTTTATTTTAATGTGACTTACATTTTTCTATTTATTCCGCTTTGGTCATCATTTGTTTAAAGCGTTCATTCACTTACGATAGCAATGACATGCATTTTTTCTTCTTCTTACAAAATCTTTTATTTTTTATATTTAATTTTTTTCAGAGAACCACGAATAAAATTAGTTTGTGACGTTAACTGTAAGAAGAGAAGACACACACGACGCAATTTACAATCCACACAAACACACTCTATTTTACAGTAACTTCACTTTACGTCATATATGATTGCACAGATCTTTTAAACAAAATACAATGAAATTTCACTCTTCGCTCGCAACTCCGCTTCGTGCGCTATAACTAAATCACGATACTCACGTTTCCGTGATCAGCTGATGAAACCATTTTTCGTTCAACTTCGTGTATGCGTATACATATATACATAGATGCATACATTTATCCATTTGGAGCAATCGCTTATTGGCACTTAGTATTGTATCTACAAGCGATCACGTCAAAGCTTTAGCTCGCACTAACAGCGAGTTGTTGCCTCTTTACGACAGCAACCCAACTAATCAGCTGAGCTGTGCGAAATCGACGTCATTGATATTGGATAATAAAAAATAAAATAATTGAAAAAATTGTAAAAACCAGAAAATAAAATCTGAAAAGCGATAAATAAATAGTTTAACATTCTAAACGAGCGGAACAAGAGCAAGTAAATATGTGTAAAGCCGGTTACGTTTTTGCAGCGGATTGTTGTTGGTTTGCCGTTTCATATGCGGCTACTGGGAGTGTATAGATAAATTTTTTTTTTATGAATAGCTGTTTACCTCCTTCTTTCAACCTGTGAGCGTTTGCGTACAAATTCGTAAATTTTCTTCAAGCCAAGCGTGCCTATCGCCGTAAGGTTAGACCTGGGACATCGTGAAATATGTGATTTCTCATTTCGCTGAAGGCCGGACACTCACAAAGGAAGTGCTCCAGCATTTCTTTGTCTTGTGTGCCTGCTCACCACTCAGTCGATTCTACTTTACGTTGCTTACGGAGTTGATTTCTTAAAGTAGATGTCCCGTTAATACATCTTGGTAATGATAACAGTTTGGTCTATGTACTCCTACCTATGCTACCTCAAAGTAACTAAGTGCTACATCCCACCTTGGAAGAGTTCCAAAGCTTAAGTGTTCCGTAATTCGATTTTTGTTTTCAAAAAAAAGTTAAAATTTTTTGGTCAGAAGCAAGGATCAGCAGCTTGTCAAATTCATAACACAGAGTCTGCGGTGAATTTGGTGTAACCTGTTCCTGTTTAATTCTCAACCTAATATCTCTTCATGCAAGCTCGGCTTTTCTTTCGGCAAAGGTTTTCACCTTGAAAACAATTTCAGCAACTGGTGAAGGTTTTTAGCAGAAAATTTATTCGTGGAATGAAGTTATAAGACTGGGTCTTAGCGCCTCAGTTACACAAGCTGATGCGCGCTATTGTATGTCTCCCAATTGCTGTCGGATCGTCGGGAATTATCCAAAAGCGGAGGTAAAGACTTTTATGTTATTGTGATAATTTTTAAGCTGAAGTTGCTATTATCAAGGAAGAAGTCTTGGAGGGTAGTTTAATTAATATTTCCTCAGATCACCAATTGGCTTTAATGGCCTGAATGCACTCATGACGAGTTCTAAAATTGTGGGGAATGCTTGCCATCACTGTCTGTGATGTCGACTTGTTTCAGAATTAAGGTTGCATGGGTGCATTTGATAAGATTCTGGAAACTTCAGCGCTGATGAGCTTGCACATGTGTACTACCCCTTCCCAAACAACAAAACACAAGCGGACATTGAGTCAACTCAGCGACTGCTGGGCGTGGTGACAAGATCTTTCTAGTACGATATAGACCAACGAAGGTCAAAGAAGCTCTTTTACATTCCAATATAAAAAAACGGGCTTGGAATTTTTACCGGGCGTTATCCTTTCTTTGTCTTTTTGGTTATACTGTTTGGCGCCAGTTAGAAACACCAAGTGAAACTATTGTAGGTCACACTCCACCTTATCATCCTAACGAAGCAATCGGCTACAACGAAGAAATCACTATTCGAATCACGTCTTTTCCATCACCACGGTTTGTTGTTTCGGGTTATCCATCTGGGGTTCTTTCATTTTCACTACCTTTCAGCAAGCAAGAAGAGATTTGGTCCATGCACCACACTCTGGCTATCAGTCACCAAGTTTCCACATTGGTTCCTACATAAGTATGCTCCGGTTTTGAAACCTTCTGTGAGTCGCCGCAAGTTTTCGTAGAATTTTTGAGACCTCCTCGTTCAAGTTTTTCATACTCCAGGTTGAGAGGTACGCAGTCTATTTCCCCGCGACTGTTGCTCGACAATCCTCGAGTGCATTTATGACATGAAATGGAAGCTTCTCTTAAAAAACCGTCTGTTGCGGGATAATAAATATTAGGTGTACTAAAAAGTTCGTTCCGTTTTTATCTAAGAGATGGCGTTATTGTTTATTTGCGCTCAAAGTTTGTCTTTGACAGTTTTTCGATTGATTGACTCAGTCCGCTGTGATCGCTCGTCAAAGATGGACAATACCAAAGAGGAAATTCGCTAAATTTTACAATTTTCCTTCGATCAAGGCGAAAGAGAAGCCAAAGCTGCTGAAAAAATTATTTCAGTTTATGGGCCCAATACTGTAAACGAACGTGCAGCACAAAAGTAGTTTGCTAGGTTCTGTTTCTGTAATTTCGATGTCAAAGATGCACCAGGTTTTGCTGTGTGTTTGGTGGGATTGGCAAGGAATCATCTACTACGAGCTGCTCCCCTATGGCCAAGCGCTGATTTAGGCCTTCAACTACCAACAAATGGACTGATTGAAGGCAGCACTCATCCAGAAGAGGTCATCTTTGATCAACAGAGGCCATCAGGACAACGCCAGGCTACACACGTTTCTGGATACGCTCGGATGGAAGGTCCTAATACACCCACCTTATAGCCCAGACCTTGCACCAAGTGATAACCATCTTTTCCTGTCCATGGCGAACGCGCTTAATATTGAGAACTTGGCCTCAAGAGAGGCCTGTGAAAATTGGCTCCCCGAGTTTTTTGCCAGTAGGGACGCAGCCTTCTATGAGAGAGATATAATGAAGTCGGCTACTCGTTGGCAACAACATTTCTTATGTCTTTGTCCCGTCAATGGCCCTTCTTGAACGGCGGTGACATCAGCCTTTAGTTCAGCGAAGACATCAACCAGCTGGGCAGCTGTACCTTCTCAATTAAAGGACAGCGTATACACATTTAGTCGAATTTTTGAAGCATAAGTATTTCCAAAGTTCTTGGCCGAGTTTTTTTTTAGAAAGCTACTGTCTACTTGATTAGCAATTTCACATTCATTTCTCACTTAATTATTTATTCTATGTTTATTTGTTTTCCATATCCACCATTCAAAGGCGATTTCATTGGAATTTATCAAATTATCGCATTTCCTTATTTTATTAGCACACACTCGTACCTATATATTTTATGGCCATATTTTATGATATCTTTTTATCTCGTAGCATAAAATTTTTGATTTCCAACATTCGCCTTCATTTTGTGCATAAATTAGACTTTTAACGTGTACATTCACATGTATATATGTATGTATGTATGTATTTATTTGTACAGCAATAATTTGTAAATTGAAAGTGTAAATTGACGACGCTCGTTTACTTTGATGGCGCAATCACATATTTACATACTTATATATATATAAAAATGTGCGAACATGCAAATACTTTCATTTCTATAAATTGTTTTTCGTTTCGATTGTATGAACAGTGTATGTATGTATGTATGTATGTATGTATGTATGTTTTCACATGCCAATAGAAGCTTCTAAACGCAAAGTCAATAATATATCATAACATTGTTACATTTTCTATACAAAACTGTTATTTTAAAATGATTTTGCCTCACTTACCCCCATCGCCTTTTATGCCATCGCATTGAATGTAAGGCGTGAAATTATTCTTAAAATTATGGTGAAAAGTTGTTAAATGGCAAATGCATACCCTGATTTTTGATTTACACACAATGCACATATAGGTATGTATAATATTTCTACACATTTGAATTGCAAAAAAAATTGTTTAACACGCCTGTGTGATACGAAAATTGGGTAGAATTTGCTTTTTTCTAGCATGCGATATTTTTTTTCAGTTAGCCATTGGAATTGTATTTTCATAAAAACTGTAAGGTGATCTTGAGAAAGTTTTTTTTTTAAATTTTTTTTTAATCTTTATTGTCACTAATGAAACTAAAGTCGGCAAATATTCCAAATTTTTAATTTAATTCAATTCAAGCTCTTTCTACATTTTTTAGATGCGTCTTAATGATTTTCCAACAAATAAAGCGACCTACAGTTTATACTAAGTCGCCTCCGCATGATATGGTTTGTTGTTTCTTCCTGAAATTAGGTGTTTATGGCAGCAGTTCTGATATCACTTTTCCGAGACCCAAATTGGCCCTCTGATGGTTTTTACTATTACCAGAGATTCTCAAGGAAAAATATTTCATAAGACGTCAGCGTTTTGAGAGCTTTCAGAAGATGTAGTTAATTTTCTAAAAATAACTCTTATACAATTCACAAAGGTCAAAGTTATTTTGAGCGATTTCCCCTTTCCATGCACTGATAAGTTTGCTTTGTTTTGTTCTGGGTGCAACATGAGCCAGGGATGGGACTTCCTCTTCCTCTGCTTCCACCTGCGGTTACCGCATCGAATGCTTTCAAAGCTGTAGTGGTTTCATCCATTCGAACGACTTGGCCTAGCCAGCGTAGCCGCTGTTTCTTCATTCGCTAAACTATGTCAATATCATCGTACAGATCGTACAGCTTCGTTCCATCGTCTGCGGTATTAGCCGTTTCCAACCCATAGCAGACCATAAATCGTTCTCAAAACCTTTCTCTCTAAGACTCCTAACGCCGGCTCATCAGATGTTGACATCGCCCACGCTTCTGCGCTATTTAGTATGACGAGTACGATGACCGACGATGGTTTTCGTTCATTGGGAGAGGACTTCACTTTTCAATTGCATACTCAGTCCAAAGTTGCACCCGTTGGCAAGAGTGATTCAGTGTTGCAATTCAAGGCTCACTTATTTATTGGTTTTGATGCTGGTCTTTATATAGTTAGGGAGAGCTAAATCGCGATTGCGAGGACTGTTTGCTTGATGACGGTACATATTTCGTCTTGTCCTTGTTCGCAACCAGACCCACTCGCTTCGCATCTTTTATTAATTCTGGGGAAAGAAGAACTAACAACGCGGTTGTTGAATACTATGATATCAATATAATTGGCGTACGGCAGTAGTTGTATGCGAAAGGCTCGTAGAGGTCCTTTCCAATTCTGAACGAGATTTCTAATTTTCACTGTGGCTAACTCAGCGAGACAGTCGAAGAAGTGTTTCCCAAGAAACTTGTGTCGTGTGGATGTCAAGGCTGGACAGTGTCAGAGGTAGTGCTTGATGATCTCCTCATTTTTTTCGTCCCTACAGCCGTGGCAGAAATCG